TTCTTCTGAATGAAATTCCGTCTAGGTCTGATATTCTGATGCACAAGCTGAACATACTTTTCCCAAGTTCTGCACCTGAAGTTAGATCTCTATCTCCTCCTAAACCTCTCATTGCAGGCAGGGCCATGTAAACAGTTTTGATATCTATGGTTAGTAACTGAAGTATGAGATGTTATTGTTAGTCCAATGTCATAGACTGAAGCTCACTCTTCATATGTTCTGAAGCTGATGCTGCTATGAACATATATGTACTATTTAAGATTTGGGAATATAATTTTTGAAGATTCATATTCATTTTTCATCTCAAAATTTTGAAGTAGATTCATAGAGTATGCTTTGTCATTCATGTTAAGGGTATTATTAGGGATTTCTGTCTGGGTGAAATTAGGATTGGTTTAGCTTGCATATAGAGGATTGTTACATACTCTTTCTCAGATTGTAATTAATTATTATTTTGAGGAATTATTTTCCCTCTTTTGACTTCTACCATTCTATTCTATGTCCCTTTCATTCTTTTTCCTCTTTTCCCCACGTTAAGACTCTACTCAGTTCAGTGGCTTTTTCTTTCAGGAGAGGCTCCTTTAAAAAGAAAAAAAAAACAGTTATAGAAAAAGGCTATGGAGTTGAAAGTACTCTCCCCTCAAACATCATTTAGCCAAAGAAATTTCCGAATTGGAAACTAGTAACATTAATGATATTGAATTAATTGTGAAAGATTAGCTGGAAATCAGAGGGCAGGCTACAATGTGTGGACAGATAGGATATTATTATTGTGCCTCTTACATGGAAAGATAGATTTGTGAGACCAATCAAGGGCATTTTGCATGAGTCCTTTGACAATATTCCATTTTGCCATCAAATCTAGTTATGATTGTCATTATGAATCTAGTTACCACTAGTTTGTAAATCTTTATAGAATTAACTGCTATATTAAACTCGCATTTTGATATTTTTTTTTATAAATAATATTACACTACATAAATGTTTTCAGATAGACAGGATGGCTTACTTTCTAAGCCAAAATGTTAGGATTTTATTGTCAGCGTGTATGTAATAAAACAACATAGAATGATTTTTGCAGTAAATAGAGCTGCACATTATTGCCTCTGTAGTTATAGTTACTTGTTCTGGATTTAATTCTTAGATATTTTTCTCTAGACTTTGGATGACCATCACAAGTGGTAAAACTGATTGTTAATAAACTCTATATGCATCTGAATAACATTTATGTCTTTTAGCTTCTTGGTCCTTTGGCCAAAAAGAGTATTAGCAGTTGGATGATCAGTCATCTGATGACTCTTGTAGATTATTTCCATGTTCCACCTTATTCTGAATTAATCTCAATGTGGATTTCTAGGTTGGTATGGTTCTCCTTATTATAAAAACTTTAAAATTGGTTTAGCTGTATTTTATTCCATATTCCATAACATAAGTGATGTTATTTTGGTTTACGCTTCATGACTTCATCGAGTATACTTTTTTACTCGAGTTCATATGTTTGGCAATCTATGAGAATAAAAATATTACGACTTTATATGCCATTATTTAAACCAACTTTAGTGACCATGATTGTGCCTCAACCATAAACACATCTAAAATATTAATTTCAGTGGATCCTTTTAAACAAGTCTGTTTTGGTGCTTTTACAATATTAAATACATATTGTGTGATTTGCTAACGGCCTGAATTTTTCAAAAAGCTTTTTGGTTCTTGCATTCTCAATCCTTGACCCCTAAAGAATTTAACGGGATTCTTTAGCGTTAACATACAATTTTCATGTAATGTTTATAGAGTTGCACTTGCTTGGTTGGATATTTTGCAGATAAATTGATATGTGCTGATATAACACAGGGTACTGATATATTATGCCCAAACTAACGTCAAGCTCTGGTTTTTTATTTGAAATACACACTGTTGGTATTTGATTCAAATAGGATCAGGTAGTATGCTAGACAACATGAATTCTGTTGATCTCTTTTTGTATCTTTCTAGGAGTACAAGGGTAGTTTTCTCCTGCATTGCTCCTTCTCTCCTTATTCTCTTCTACAAGTAACTGGTCGTCGAATACTCTGAAGGGTGAAGTACCTGTAAAAAATATTCTAATGTTCAAGTAAGAGTTCGTTTGAGTGTAATAAATGAATGAACAGTAATTTTACTTCAATATCTGTTATTCTATTTACACTAATTGTAGTGGGTCTCGGACCTGTGGACTTTTATTGTCAATTACTAACTAGGTAATGGATCTCTAATGATGGTTTAGTGTGTTGATGGCTTGATGCTCTTAGTGACTTTGGTTATTCATCTCCTTACCTTTCACTTTCAGTCATGTTGATGAGAGGGGCTCCTGCCATCTTAAGTATTGTTTGTGGGTTTAGGGTTTAGGGTTCGGGTTTTGAGGGTCCGAACCATTAGTGAGGAATTCAAACAATGTCTCCTTATCCTAAACTTCCTTCCCAATCGATCCTGGGTTATTCAGTACCTGGTTAGCCAGATATTTTCTTTGCTATTATTGGTTGCAACTTGTGAGTTGATCATGTTTGCTTGTTATACAAGGTATTTGTTATTTGCCCAGTTTTAATCACAACACTAAGAAAGATGTTAGATTGTGAGAGATATCAATGAGAGATAAGCATCTCTTGTGTCAACCAATTGACACAAGTGAACATCATTTCTGAATATGATTATGCAAAAAAGGTCCTTTATTCAGTGTCTATTCTCTGATTGTAGATTTAGCTCTAATTTTATTTTTCTCTTTGATTTGTCAATTGGCAGTAATATGTATATAAAAATAAGGGTTTCTTCTTTCATAGATTTATTAATGGTAAGCATGTTATTTGGTTTCTTCTTTCAAATTTAAATTGATATTAATCAAAATATTAATATTTGGGATTAATAAAAAAATACAAATAAATAAATTGAGATACTAAATCTAACAGAAGTCATGTAACTTAATTAAAAGGAGAATGATTTTTGACAATAGTACTTAAATAGTAAACACATTTCATAAATTTGAAATGAGCATGTTTGTTACACGTATTTCACAAACAGTTGGGTAGGAATCTTCTAGTGGCATGTAACAGCATTACTCATTTGAGCAACCTATCTGTCCTCAGATTTTTATATCAAAAGAAACCGTTGACCATGGGTCCAAAATTCCAAATCCAATCTAATCCCATAAATAACGCCAATTGAAGCATCATTTCGTAGTGGATCTCATGTTCCTTGTTAACTGCTAACACAGATTGATACAATGTAAAGGAAGATTTATCTCTAGAGGTTTCTTCCAAATCAATAATGTTTTAGTACTTAGCACTACCCTCTACCATTCCCAATAATCAAAGAGTTATTTATTATAAACATTTAATATAACATATTTATAAGAAGATAAACAAACGCACTGATTGATTGACAAAAATTAAAAACTAATTTTTCAGATGAATTTTTTTAAATTTTTTAAATGTCCAAAGCAAGTATCTCCTTTTGTCCTTACAAATGCTATAAGAACATTATACTCTAGAGGTAACTAGTTTTTCTTTTTTCTTATGTTTTTTTTTTCTTTTTCATTGATTAAAAATATTAAAAAATCATTTTAAATGTTTTTAAAGTAATTATTATAAAAATTATATAATAATTTATAATTATATGAAAAAATAAAAATTCCTTATGGTATTTGACATCTCACTTTTAAAGATCATAAATGGGTCTGTCATTATACTCCTTTTAAAAAAATTGTAAATTTTCTCTTCAATTTAGTAACTTTAAAAACTATACTAAATGTCTCACAAGTTATTTCAGATTCTTACATTTCATCAAAATTAACTATTTATTTATTATATAAACCTTTTTTTCTTTATTATTATTTGTTATTCAATACCCACACTAAGGACTTGTTTGTTTAAACTTTTTTCTCTAAAAAAGTATTTCTAATAAAATAAACAATTACTATTATTATTATTATTATTAATTTTTTGATATGTTTGTCTAAATTGTTTTTTTTAATAAATAACTTTTATCTACTACTTAAAGAATTATATTTTTAAAAACATTTTTTTTTAGATTTGTCTTTTAAATTTTATACAAACTAGCCCAAAGTTACACGCATGCTCAATAAGATAGGATGATTAATAGAAATAACCCATTTTAGCAACACAGCTGGGGATGACCTTAATGCATTCTAACCAAATTTATAATTTAAATTCAAATCTTAATTATTAAAGGTGACATATATTCCATAGAGTAAGCTTCGGTAAGTATATATTATAAAGTTGCATTGTTCATCAACTTTATCCCAACAGATTTTTGATTAAGGAGATTTAAAAGCATAAAGATACCTACTTTCTCCACCCAAAAGGAGCCAAAGGAAGAACAACACAAAATTATTGATCATAACAAGCAGCAGAAAGGGACCAAGCAAGGAAAACCTTGGACAACACCATGATGTGTGTGACGACTTTAATAAAACCGTCAGTTACAGAGGAGACAAGAAAAAAGTGATGATCTTATCAACTCTGCATTTTTCAGCCCCACATTCTCAGGTTCACATATTTAATATTCGAGAGTGAATAAAATTGTTTGAAAGAGGATAAAACATAGACAGATAGTATAAACATTGCTTGTGTTGTGTTGTAAATATATATTATTGGTAAAACTCTAATTTTGATGGAACAACATTACTATATATTAAGTTTTCTCCAAATAAAAATAAGAAAAATGTGGCAGATGTGGGGGTGTAGCTGTGGTGAAGGAACAAGTAATAGCAATATCAAATTCAAATTCAACAATACGGAATCACATTAACAAAAGCTTTTGGGGGGGGGGG